TTGACACCAGCTGAGGATCTGGCCCAATGTCCCACTCATTGGACTTCACCTTTGCCCTGGGAAAGAGGGCAAAGGTGAGGGGAGGGATAGCTCAGTGGTTTGAGCATTGGCCTGCTAAACCCAGGGTTGTGAGTTCAGTCCTTGAAGGGGCCACTTAGGGATCTGGGGCAAAATCAGTACTTGGTCCTGCTAGTGAAGGCAGGGGGCTGGACTCGATGACCTTTCAAGGTCCCTTCCAGTTCTAGGAGATAGGATATCTCCATTAATTTAAAGAGGATAGAGTAAGGGGCCATTCGGCCTCCATGGCCCACTCAATCCTTGCCCATTTGGCTGAGGCTAGCTGGGGCACCAGTTGGGCTGGTGGTGCTTCTGACGGGGACAACTAGAAACTGCAGAGCTCCACCCAACTCACTGCATACAGCTCACCAATCAGCCTTCACGTGGTAATTATAGGCTACAAGGACTTGGCTTTGCTTTTCCAGGGGCACAATTGGTTTTACTTGAAGCTGACATGGCCAGACCTGCATGAAAGAGAGAGTGAGTCTGATTCTTCGCTCGTTTACACCCATTCAATTCTATTGACTTCAGCGTGACACTGGGGCCAGACCCGAAGGATGTCAGGTGGAAGAGACGTGGCTGTAGATGGTATCCAGTGTCTTAGGCCTGGTCTACACTAGGACTTTAATTCGGATTTAGCTGCGTTAATCCGAATTAACCCTTCACCCGTCCACACTACAGAGCCAGTTAATTCGAATTAAAGGGCACTTAAAATCGATTTCTGTACTCCACCTCGACGAGCGGAGTAATGCCTAAATCGATTTTGTTAATTCGAATTAGGGTTAGTGTGGCCGCACACCACCGAATTACTGTGTTTAAGTTAATGGGGTAGTGTGGCCGCACACCACCGAATTAATGTGGTTAAAAACCGAATTAAGGTGCTTAGTGTGGCCGCGCACAATCGAATTTATACAACCTGTTTCCCAAATTCGAATTATCTAAATTCGGATTAATCCTGTAGTGTAGACATACCCTTAGGGCAGAATTCAAACAATAACACAACACAGATCCCTTTCTATTGTCCTTCACATTTTTTAAAGCTCTGTCCTCTTCCCCACACACATGGCACCTAAGTTCCTGGGGCTATTCCTTCTATTCTTCTCTCTGACTAGACTGCAGGGACGTTGGCCTGTATATTTCATCACTTCGGGCTTTTCTTTTCTCCTTCTCTGTTCTCGCGCGTTATTTCCCTGTTTGCCCGTGTCTGTCCCCGCCCCAGCTCTGAAGCAATGGTTGGCTGTCCTACCACCTTTCACGGAATGCTGTGTGATCCTTCCGATGAAAGATGCAATGTAAACATGCTCCAGCCTGCATCCTTCAGGTCTATAGTACCAGGCGTTCCTCATTTAACCAAAGTGACAGCAGCTCTGCTGTGGATTAGCTTCTCCCAGACCTACTCAAGGGTTATTGGTTTGTAACTGTCTTGCCCTCTAGTGGCTGGTTAGTAAAGCAGTTGGCTGGCAGAATGGGCCTCCAGTGACCTTTGCTTTTTCTAACCAGCCTGATTACCAGCTTGCTCCTTTCATCAGAAACCCAAAGGGGGAACCTAGGGTGAGGGGCTGCAGATTTAAGAGATGTACCAATGCAGCGTGGTCATTGTTGTTGCTTCTCTGAAACCTAAGCCTGATCCTCTCTCCAATATCATTGCGTAGGCACAGGGATGATCACAATGTGTCCCTTCATATTTAAGGACTCACTCTCTCTCCAAAAGAGAAGGCAAAACAAGGAATATAACCAGCCTTAAAGACCAAATGGGCCTGTGCTCATAGGCTTACCTCTTAAGAACATAAGAACGGCCATACTGGGTCAGACCAATGATCCATCTAGCCCAGGATCCTGTCTTCCAACAGTGGCTGATGCCAGGTGCTTCAGAAGCAATGAACAGAACAGACAATCAGTGAGCAATCCATCCCCTGTCTTCCACTCCCAGCTTCTGGCAAACAGATGCTAGGGACACCTAGATCAGGGGGCTGCCTCCCTGACCATCTTGACTAATAGCCATTGAAGGACCTATCCTCCAGGAACTTGTCTAATTCTTTTTCGAACCCCGTTATAGTTTTGGCCTTCACAGCATCCCCTAACAATGTCTGATATTATGTTGGCATGGCTGGCAGCTTTATGCCACCTATTTGGTTTTGTACTAGCATAGCTAGCAGGTTTTTTCTTCCTACCTAGTATTGTACTGGCACGGTGGGCTGCTTTACCATAAGTTGATTAACGGAAAGAGAATTTTCTTTACTGGCAGCCTGATTTAAGTGCTTAATGTAGTGGATTGAATTACTGTGGCATTTGACCACGAAAGCCAAAGATGCCATCCTCCAGTTGTAGCTACTGTCATTCTATAATCAAAACGTTTGCTGTTCCATGTAATAATTATGTGCTGCATTTTATTTTATTTATTTATTTTGAAAGGTGGCAACCTTCTGTTAACTTTCGTGCTGGGCAATTAAAGCAGATCAGATGATAACATAGAAAGGAAAGGTGAGGTGGCGGTCCTGACCTCTTAATTAAGTGGTATTGTTTCAGGGAGCAGATGAGGTTAGCTTCATCCAATGGTGGGGGGAAGAAAACATACAAAGGTATTGAACTGTGGAGAAAGGTAAACAGCACATCAGAATACATTAAGCAATTGATAATGCAAGCCACAGAAAGCTATAGAGCGCAGGGGGAATGCTTTCCCTGGCTTGGAAATTATTGAGCCATAATTAATGTGTAGGAAGCACTTCAAGAACCTGTGATAAGAGGTTGTAAATACCAATTACACATGTATTATAAAAGTTTAGAAACCAGGGGCGTGATCGTGTAGATTGGGTTGCAGGAGGAGGAAGATTTCCTTGGTTTTTTCAATAGAGGCAGTGCTTTATTTTTTATTAATGTCTTAAACATATTAGTTCATCCAAAAGGATCTCGAAGCCTTTTCTAAATATGGACCACATCCTACTTCCCTTAGTGGTGGGAGTAGTCCCACTCCAATGGGGCGGCATGTAGAGAAAACCATGCAGACACCTCTGGGAAAGCAGCAGTCTGGTGTATAGGAGAGAGGTGGAAAAAATGTGTTCCTGGGCAACAGGGTAACAAGAAGTGCCCTAGTACCTGTAGTGGGCAGCAGAACAGAGAGGATCCGTCTCTCTCTTTCTCCTCCTGAACAGCAGGTCAACTTGTGTTCCTAGCGCCCGCCTAAATGTGTCAAGAAAACAAAGGACAATTGTATGAAAATTACAGGACAAAGCTTATTTTAAAGGAAGGCCTATCACAAGACCACACACTGGCATCTCAACATGTGATCTCTGATCTTCTGCCTGATGCGGCCAGAGCCACAGGACAAAGCACAGCCTCGGATGACTGAGCCAGAGGGCCCGGCACCAAATCCAGGCTGTTGCCTGAACAAACGCCACGCGCCCTGCCCCAGGAATTTTATTTACGCAGCAGCAGACTAGGGTGGCTACCTGCCCTGGGGTCTGGCTAAAGCTCACATCATCCGCTGGCAGAGGGACTAAGCACAACGGGCTGAGCTGCTCCCTGCTGAGTGTACAGACTCCAGCAGGCCTGTCCATGGGCTCTAGGGAACAGCCGCAGAGCTACCATCCATCCCCACTTCCCTGGGCCTACCTCACGCTGACCCAGCCCCAGCGCTAGGGGGACCACGGGCTGTGATCCCCTTGCTGGGGCGTGCACCCTGCCGCAGCCAGGCTCCTACCCTGCCTCTTCAACCAGGCTCGGCCTTTCCAACCTGATGCCCAGCTGCCTAAGCCAGTGTTTTTCAATCCGTGGGTCGCAACCCACTACTGGGTCGCGGCATGAAAGGCGCTGGGTGGGTCACCTTGCTCTGGTCAGCACCGCTGACAGGGAGGTTAAAAGTCCCATCGGCAGTGCTGCCTGGCTAAGGCAGGCTAGTGCCTACCTTTTCCAACACCGCGCTGTGCCCCGGAAGCGGCCAGCAGCGGTCCGGCTTCTAGGCAGGGCAGAAGGGGCTCCGTGCGCTGCCCCCGCCCCAAGCACTGGCTCCGCACTCCCTGAGCATTGGTTCCTGGCCAATGGGAACTGGGGGAGGCGGTGCCTGTGGGCAAGAATCACGCGGAGCCGCTTGTGCGCCTCTGCCTAGGAGCCAGACCTGCTGCTGGCCGCTTCCGGGGCTCAGCACAGTCCACGGTGCACCCTGGCTGCGCCACTGAGCCGCCAGAGGTAAGTCCGTGCCCACGCCCCAACCCCTGCCCCAGCCCTGAGCCCCCACAAACCCAGAGCCCCTCCTGCACCCCAAACCCCTCATCCCCAGCCCATAGACCTGACCCCCTCCTGCATCCCACCCCCAGCCCTGAGCCCCCACAAACCCAGAGCCCCTCCTGCACCCCAAACCCCTCATCCCCAGCCCATAGACCTGACCCCCTCCTGCACCCCAACCCCCTGCCCCAGCCCTGAGCCCCCACAAACTTGGAGCCCCTCCTGCATCCCAAACCCCTCATCCCCAGCCCAGAGCCCTGACCCCCTCCTGCACCCCAAACCCCTCGTCCCCAGCTCCCTTGGGGTCGCGGGCATCAACAATTTTCTTCAACTGGGTCCCCAGAAAAAAAGTTTGAAAACCACTGGCCTAAGCCATCCCCTCCCCAGGACGTGCGCTGCCCTTTTAAGAGCCGCAGCGGCTGCCCTGCCTCTGTTGCTAGGCGGTGCCAGTTGCCAAGCGGGGAGGGAGGAGGCAGAGGAGCAGAGGGCGGGGGTCCCTCCTCGTCATAGGGAGGGCTTTCCCCTTGCTGACACGTGGTTTAACCTTCCAGCTGGAGGAGGCGGGGCTACCCTGGCAGGCTTGCCCAATGAGCGGCCTGAGGGATGAGGGCGGGGGGCGTGCCCAGTCTATATATGGCCCGGGAGTGGGCGTGGCTGGGACTGAGCACCGCCCCCTTCTCTGACCTGTGCAGCTGCGCCTCGCCGGCAGGCACCCCGCACTTGGCGGAGCAGCCTGAACGCCGGCGTCCGCGGCTCTCCCCGTCCCGCGTCGCCATGACTTCCCGCAGGTAAGGGCTGCCCGGGAGCAGCCGCCTCGGATCCTCCCTCCGGCTCTGCCCTTCCTCGCCCCCCGGACCCGGCTCCCTCCCCTGGGCTCTCCCGGGTCTGCGATCCCTTCGCACCCGGCTTTCTGCTCCCGCAGGCTCGGTCCCAAGCGGCGGTGCGCTGCGGGGCAGGTGTGTGCGCGCCCTTCCGTCTGGGCGAGCTCTCCCCCAGCAGCAGCGGCTTTAAACCCGCCCTGGACAAAGCACCCCACGGAGCCCACTCCCTGGCGGGGCAGGGGCCAGTAGACAGCCCCTCCCCAGCCCTGGCCGTGAGGGCATGGCTTGGGCTTTGTTCGCGTGCGCCCTCCCCATGTGGGGAAAACAGGGCGCGGTGGGCTTGCTTTTCAGGACCTGCTTTTTATTTCGTTGGTACCATCGCCGGGGCCCTTATTTCCTTTTTTTAAAAAGAAGTTGCTGAGTTGGTAGAAAGAGACTGAACCCTTTCCGCAGTGAGGTATCAAATAAGTAACACAGAGGAAACCATGCGAGCGGCTCCTGAAGGCTTGGAAAGTTTTGGCCTGGTGGGGTTTTTTTGTTGTCAAAGCTGACTCTGGTGCATATTGCAGTGTAGTTACGTTTAATAATCTAACCAACCTCTTGGGCCATAGTGTGTGAAAGGAAGCGGAAGGTGCAAAGTAGCATTTGAGCCGATATTGGCCATAGCTGGTACACAGAAAGGAACTCTCAAAAGTACTTTCCTGCCTGCGTTGCTAAAGCCAGGGATTTGAAGCCGGGGGGAAAAGTTGATCCAGAATCGTGTTTAAAGATGTTGCTGTTTCGGCCAGGGAAAAGGAGGAGCTTGGTAGCGGAGTTCTGATTTCTACTGCAGTTCTTTTGCTAGTTGGCAAGGTAAATGCAGTTTAAGAGGTGGCCTTTGAAAACAAAGCAAATGGGGCATCGTCCATCTGTCACATTACCTCTCCACTCCTCCTGCCCCTTGGTCCGTCCTTCCTTCAAAAAGTGAGTGTTCTCCAAAGTCTGCTGTCCTTTACCAGTAGGACTTGATTTAAACCCATTCTACTGGCCATGGGTAGCAGCCAAATGTGGTTAAAACTGAGTTCTGATTTCCATATATAATGTGTGTAAATATGAACGCATGTGGTCGTTTCAGATCAACGCTTTTAACGTGCAGAGCTGCTCCATGGTTAAAGTTGCACTGAGCTTTTCAGCGAAGGCGGGATTAACTGGGCTCCCTCTCATAAATGAGCAGTTTGGCTTCAGTTTTTCTCGACAAAGTGTCTTAACTCAAACTCTGCAAAGCTTTCCTTTTTCCCGATAGGGGAGGGAGAGAGAGGGTGGCTGACTCTGAATGTCTTTCCTAAATACTTGAGGCCTAAATCTGCCACTGTCATAATCAGTCAGTTGCAAAATTGTTCCTGATTTAAGCCTCTGTCTGGCAGTAGTTCTGTGGAGCAGCCCCATTTCCTTTATTGGGGCTCTTCCCGGGAACAGGGTTCTGATAGCATCATCATCAGGGACTTAGAGTGAACCAAGGGTTGCTCCTTATTTATGCAGGGGTTTTAAGGAGGGGAGGTGAAAGATGTTACCTACCTTTAAAACTTTCTAGTAACTGGCTTCCTGAGCAGTGGGTCTAAAATGGGTAAACAGACATTGCAAAGGATTTCTTTTTGACATGCAAGCTGCTTTCTCTTGTGATCCTATGAAACCAAAACACCTGCATAGTTCTGTATACCCCCAAGTGACTTTGCCCTTGGTGTCTGTCAGGAGAAGTAACTTTCAAAGCTTTTGTCCATATTAAAAATGGGGTGGAGGGTGTCTCTTCTGCTGGGAGGGTTGAGATGGTGGTGGAAAGCAATCCCGCAAATGACTGACACTTTAAACTCTGTGATGTGGCTAGCTATAGGACAGGGACGATCTTTTTGTTCTGTGTTTGTATAGCCTTTAGCACAGTGGAATCCTTGTCAATAAATGGTGCTCCTAGACACTACAGTGATACAACGAATGTCTCTGGACTTGGGTGGTAACTGAAGGAATCTGTTTTTGCTTCACTCCAAATATTACTGGGTAGTAAGTGTGTGTTCATGATTTGGGATCTTAACATTTTTTCTTAAAGCAAAAGGTTTGAAGTTTACCTTAGACTCTTTCCTGCAGGGAGAATCGCGTGAATGTTTCCCCCAAAGTATAACGGGGGAGTAAAAAATAGAAGCACCGCACTACACTGGTGGGTGCCTTGTTCGGTTATGAAGCACACCTCTGCTGACAGGCAACAGCGTTCGAGCAGAGGTGTGGGAGTCTAAACGCTTGGGTTCTAGTCTCAGCTCCGGCCCCAGCGCTCTGAGCTTGAGCCAGTTGTTTTAAGCTCTCTGTGCCTCAGCTTCTCTGTCTGTAAGAGAGAGATAATGGGCCAGATCCTCCTCTGGTGTAAACTCTCCCAGAGCTAGTGACTTCAGTGTAGTGACGTGACTTGTAGCAGATGAGGAACTTCAGTGAAGTCAATGGAGCTGTGAAAGTTTTATACCAGATGAGAATTCATCCTAGAGCAGTGTAACCCACCAGCTTGGTATGTATTATGAACATAAGAACGGCCATACTGGGTCAAACCAAGGGTACATCTAGCCCAGTATCCTGTCATCCGACAGTGGCCAATGCCAGGTGCCCCAGAGGGAATAAACAGAGCAGGTAATCATCAAGGGATCCATCCCCTGTTGCCCATTCCCAGCCTCTGGCAAACAGAAGCTAGGGACCCCATTCCTGCATCCTCCTCTGTGCCTGATCCAGAGATGATGTGGTTCTGTTTCAAGCCACAGCTGCAGAGCCTGGCTCTTTGGTTCAGGCTGTAAAGACTTGCATGTTTAGCTTTGGACATCCCTAGTTCAGTCCTCAGTGTTTCTTCCAAGACCGTGGCTGTCACACCTGCTTAGCAAGAGTGCAAGCCGTATCATGAATGTCTATAAAACCACATTGAGATGCGTAGGTGCAAAGGGCAATAGCTGTGCAAAGTGTTCTCTCACACCGTGCACCTGCTTTCTTGTTCGTGCATATTTCAGACTTGCATGGCAGCCCGTGGTGCTAAGAGGTGCTCTGGAATGAATAGGCTTACTGGCTGCATTATTACCGGATGGCAGTGCGGAGTGCTTGGAAAGTGAGTGCAGGGCTCTGAAGTATCTTCCTATCCTACTGTAAGAGGCTACTGCAAGGGGGGGTTCTCCTCCATCAAGTGATACTCCAGTGGTTCCTGCCCGGGCCGAGGTGTGCTGATCTGCTGCTTCAAGTACCATCTCTGTGGCTATAGCTACCCTCTGCATCAAAAGATTGCAATGAGGTATTTGCCAGCTTAAAAAGCTGGAGGCAAGTATGAACAGGAGTGTAACTGTGGGTCATCACTCCTGTGTGTGTGTGTGTGTGACAGACTTGGTTTTAAACTCTCATGGGGGTCTCCTGTCCTAGTGGAAGGCAAGACCAGATCCCCTGATATTAGCTTCACTGTGTGTGTATTTAATGCTTCAAAGTAGGCCCTGCCTGATGTCACAAACCGGTTGCGTGCTGTGTCGTTAGGGCTTTCAGCCTAGGGGCAACGTAAGATGGTTACGTCGTTACGTGAACTGAGGCCGCTTCGGAAGCATTTGCTGTTGGGCTCAGTTGCCAGCGCAAAGCATCAGCACAAACGGCCCTTCAGCTTGTAATGTTGCTGAAATAAGAAGGTTCTGTGCTCGGTTATATGGTGGCTATTTTTGGCCCTTTCCACGTCAAACTCTAGGTCAGTTGTCTCGTGTGTTGGGGATGGGGCCTCAGGTTTTATGGAAAGAGGGTGCAAGGTGTGAATTGACACTGAACTTCAAAGATCAGATGGCTACTGCTTACAAGAGGGCTTTGGCATGTGGCTAGTCCTAAAACGAGCTGATGGAAATCGTATCTGATTGGCCATTATACAGGGATATCAAAGGGCACATCGTGTACAAACCAGAGAGCAAGTTCTGTGCCCCGATGAGCTTACAGCTTTAGATATGTAACTAGGCTTGGAAGGATGAGGTTTTTTGTCAGTCCACATCGATTTCGGCATAAGCACTCGCAAACCGAGGAAAGAATATTTCCACTAATGATGGAAATTAACAGCTAGGCAAAGTAAGAAAAATGCTGCTTGAGAACTTATTAGAATTTGGTCTAAGGATATTTGCATGGTATATATTGACGTGTGACGGTGACATTTTGTGTTTTAATGGTTAAAGCTGTAACTCTTTTTGAATCTCGGTGCCTCTACTGGTATTACATCATGGTCTGATCCATGGGTGCCCCCCCCCATAATTTTGCACAACCGTGAACATTTAAATTGACGAAAATTAAAAGAAAACCCTGAATTCTGTGCAAGTGTGAAAATTAAATTGATTGAAAAATGAACATTGGTATTATCTGTCCAAATTATTTTTAAAAAGGAGGGGAAAGGAAAGCATCTCTCTGGACAGATTTGTTACAAAGAATCGACACCCTTTTAAAAAAGGGTTGAATCCTGCTTTCCCGATGCACAGAATGGGACTGTAATAATAGTGTGAGCCGGACAATTAAGCCCTTTATTTGTGTGATTCCCTGCCCCCATATGCAAAACCGGAACGAATGATCTGCCATGAAGTGTGTGGCGGGGGAAGGAGTGGTGGTGAGGAGGGGCAGAGCTGAATTCAGCATTGGGACTGGCCTTGCTGGTAGTCTGCATTTGACACACCTCCTGCTTGTGTGTATCTGTTTTGGGAAGATAACGCTACATGCTAAAACTGCTCTTCCTTTAAAGGAAGGCATAGGGTCAAGATATGTGCAATAAGAAAAGGAACCTATATACTTGTATTTAATCAAATCACATTAAAATTAAATATTCCTCCCTCCCTCCCCCATCCCTGAGAGAACTGCAGGTGACAGATGCTAATCTCACTGCCTCATGAAGGCACTTGGATACTAGGAGCAGGGGGGGCTGTATAAGTGTGTGTGTGTGTGTGTGTGTAAAATGACACATGTTC